GGAGCTGAAGCTGGATCAATGAGCTAAGATGAAGTTGTGGTGTGATAACAAGTCATCTATCAGTATCGCCAACAACCCAGTGCAACATGATAGAACCAAACACATCGAGATCGATAGGTTCTTCATCAAAGAGAAGTTGGATTGTGGACTACTGGAGCTAAGTCATGTTTCAACTAAGGACCAGGCAGCAAAATGTCTGACTAAGAGACTTAGCTCATTAGATATGATTAGATGATGTGACAAGATGGGCTTAATGGATATCTTTCGTCCATCTTGAGGAGGAGTGTTGACATATGAGTAATATGTAGGGACTTATTTGTAAGTTGTATTTTGTAGGGGCCTATATAAGCCCAAGAGATTTCATAATAAGGATTATGGTTTTCTCATATATTTCAATTGTGGCCATGGAGGGAATTACGAGTTAGTGACATCGGTAAAAAAACCCCCCCCCCCCAAAACCAAGTTGAAATCATCAAATACTCTTTTCTATTCCAAATATTTCAAAAACCGTTTAGTGGAAGTCTGATGCTTAAAATAAAATATATCCAAAATTTCATAGAAGAAAAAAAACAGACTTTTAAGTTATGATTGTAGATCATGTTTGCTTAATACTTTGTACAAAATAATATCACATTTCAAAATCTCGCCCATAATGATAAATGGGAACATTTATCTTATACTACAGTCTAATTAAAGCCAATCTTTATAGCACTATCTAAATAATTACTTTCATATAAGCCTACCATTAGGCGGCAACAAATTTCAACTTCTTTAGGGGCGTAAATGACTTAGTGCGACCAAAAGGTTGCAGGTAGTTAAACGAGACCATAGTCCAAACAAAATAATGTGGTAAGTGAACAAGTGCACAACATAGTTACAACCACCTAAAACATGGCCTTAGTCCGAATAATTAGTATGAAGCTCTTATGTACACACACACACGCACATTTGAGTTTGTTTAAAGCCAATATTTTATAGGAGAGAACTGATAAATTTACTCTCCTCCTGGGAAGTATGTTAATGTTGTTAACCAACCTTTGACTTATTTATTCCAACCCAACAGAAATATCTCTATTTAGATTAATATATGATGATCAAACTCTTACTACCTATTTATAGCTTTAACATCTTTCAGTATTCATGCAAGAGTCGTCTCAGCCAAATCTCAGTTGATCAAAAGAATAGAACTATCAAAGAATTGTGTGATGATGGGATTATTTTCGGATGGGTAGTAAAATTGAGTGCTATTTTGTCCGCCGCAAAAAAAAATTACGGCAAATGTTGCAGCAACGCATGCCGTAGGTAACATTTGTTACATTAAACCAACTTCAAATTCGATGTTTGAATGTTCCACAATTTTATTGTAGAAAATATATTTTCAAATGTGATTTTATTGTTTGGTTGAAAATAAGTAGGCTATGGCTATACAATTTTTTTCCATATAAGGGAATTTTCATATGGATTCGGATCCTCTCCACTACAAAAAAAATAGTGGAGGGACCATTACATAATCACAGCCATTGATTATCTAGTTGATGGTTATGCTTTTTTCTTTTAGTGTAAATTAGGAATGAGTGCAATACACGGGGGTATGGTAAGTGTTAGATTTAGATTGTATCATAACCGCCTACTAAATAATCAACGCTTGAGATTAAAAGTAGTGGTCTCTCCACTACTTTTTTGTAGTGGAGAGGATCCAAATCCGTTGATATTGTGTGCAGTAGCCTCAAGAGCTGAAGTTATCGGAATATTCAGCCATAATGCAAACGCGGACAACAACGAACCATCAGAAGGTCGCATCGCAAGACTTTCGCCTTGGCATCGGTAGAAGACCTTGACTTCACATTCCACGCCATCTCATCTCGGCAAGTCGGTCCGTACGCTCTTCTTGGCATCAATAGAGGACCTTGACTTAGAGTTGGTCCTCACAAATCTTTCTCAAAAAAATAAGGGGACAGAAAGTTTACACCTCGATGACTTCTTTTGGACTTTTTGTTTCAATCCGGATAAGCTTGCGTGGAGGTTACAACATGAAAGTTATGGGGACTTAGGGGGTGTTTGTCAATCTGAAAGTGAATTTAAAATATGTAAGTTACTTTTTTTTTTTTTGCAAATGACTTTTACATTCATGTCAATACGCAAGTGAAATACAGTGTTTGTTTGAAAAATTAAATTATTATCGAAAGTACAATGTGAAGATAACGTGGTAAAATAAGATTAATTAGAAAGTATAATTAAAATCATTTAATTAAATTAGTTATCTTTTTGTCACTTTCATGTGACTTCACCACTTTTTTAGGAGAAGTTAAAATTGCATTAAATCATATGTGACAACTTTTTTACATCTCACTTTCATAACCACTTACATAAAATCAAACACCTTAATTGTAATTTATACCCACCTTTATTACTAGAATTTGCTTATCAATATTATATTATTTTTAATATACAATTATTAATAATAGTAATTTATACCCACCATTGCCCCCACCAAATTATCCTACCAAATTATGCAACTTCATAATATTATCCATCATTATCCCACCAAATTATCCTACCAAATTATCCCACTTTAAAAATTACCCATCATTGTTCCACTAAATTATCTCAGTATCAAAAAATTATCCCACTTTACCAATTATCCCAGTTCTACTTAAAAAGTTCTAGGTGACTAACCCCCCCTAAATGAGTAACTTTCCTACTTTCATCTTTCACTTGCATGCAAACAAACACCCCCTTAATGCAACGAGACCTCGCACCTCAAGTCGCCTCCTCTTTGCAAGTTGATCTATTCGCTCTCCATCAAAGATGAGGGGGGCGACGACTTCAAAGACCTAGGTTTCTATTTAATTTGGATTTTGGCGACCACCTAGGCGAGTTTTGTTATGACCAAATCAACCATCAGAATTACCTTAACAAATGAGATAGTGAGCTGTAGAAGATTGTGGGTTGTTGCACAGATTTTAGGAGTAAAGTCTGTTTCATAGGCAGATTTTTAAGGGTGGACTGATAATGGGAATGCCCAATAGATAGAGATAATTTGAGAAAATATCTTTCTCCCTCGTCTTCTCAAATGTCCCACCCAAGATTAAAGATTCCCCACAAAGTGATAATAAAGCTTGACATTGATAGTTTTTTTCAATGTTGTAAGGAGGAAATTTCAGCTCAGCAATTAATAGAATTTTTTGAATATCCTAGGACTTCCCTTGCACAACTCTTGGAGGGCATTTTTTCATAGTGTGGTAAATTTTGGGGTGAATTAACAAATATCTAGATTTTAGGGGTAATTTTTGCAAGGATGTCAATCCTCTTCAATTAGATGATAATTTGAGAGGTTCCAATTACCATAATTTTTACCACCACAATGATTATTAAAAACAGTGGTTTTAAGGATAGTCGTAGTTTCAAGATAACACTGATAATCCTGCGTGGCATAACCTCAGCTATTGAAATTGAAATAAAGGATAAATTTTAGGGTAATTGGACCCTATTAATTTACCACGTAAATGGGGTGGATCTGAATCCAATTTGTAAATATATATGATTTGGAGGTTGGGGGTGGGGGGTTGGGATATAGGTAAATGAGCACATGATTTTAACTATTTGTTGTTGCTTCTCAGCTTAAACATAGTAGCGTTTGCTAGAACTTTGTTTGGAAAGAACATTGCAATATCTCTTGTTTGATCAATAACAAAATCTCATTTGGTACTAATAAGTTTGTGAGATGATATATTTCAGGAATAAACAGGTACGAACAAGTTGAAACTCAAAACGATGCAAAAATCAGCATGAAAAGTTGATTTCAGCCTTTAACCATCGATGGTCACCAGACAACCGTCGATAGTCTACGGATCATCAATGAACTACAATCAATAATCTGTATTTTCCAGAAACCTGTTAGAGTTACAGTCCTTAAAGACAAAAAAGGTTGTGTTTCAAAATTCATTCATTCATTGGCATCAATGATTTGAGTGTAATTTTAGATCCACGTCAGATAGAATTGTAAGTCAGATAGAAAAGTAAATGATTCTCTCTCACGCTGAGTTTTGCTGGTAACTCCTGCTTGACATTTGGTAGCACGCGCATCCATGATATCATGGATGGGCTTGGGGACGTCGGACAACCGCTTTAGATAATTTGGGTTTTGTGATATTAGTTATTGAAATTGCTTTCAGGTCCCAAAGCTTTAAGTTATTTATGAAAGTGGTGCCTCCAAACAAGAGTAGAAATAGCGGCAGAGGGATTAAGTTGCAATGACTTATTGAGAATTCGAGGGCCTAATGGAGATTTCAGTGATTTAATTAAGGAACTAGTTTCAAAATAACTTAAGAACTGGGGAGCTATAATGACAACTTTTGAGGGACTAATTCTGAAATATGAAATATGTGAGGGTTAACATTGTAAAAACCCTAAATAATATGACTAATTCTGAAATATGAAAGAATGTGAGGGCTAATATTGTAAAAACCCTAAATAATATGACTATCCTACCAATAACTATTTCATACAGCAACCAAGAAAACAAATTGGATCCTCTCGTGGAAATTTATTTTGTTACCAAAGAAGACAAATTAGTAACTATAAAAGGCTGAAAAGTATGATGATTTATTATGGGTAACCGACGGATAAGATAAACGCAAATATTTTAACCTCAAAATTTGAAAGAAACAACTCAATCTAATTAAGCAAAAGGAAGGCCAGAAGTCGACACAACAAGATTGCTGATATAAAAGCCCTTTCATTGGAACAGCCCCAAAAAAGTTTGCTGATTACATAAATCCATTATGATAATATACATAATTAAAAAGCCAGTCTCTCTTATTGTCACTGCAAAATCTCGATGTTCTTGATACTATCTAGTAGTTTCACCTCATCTCCATTCTCTATGCTGGTAGTGTGCTCTAGCAGACAATGCCGATCATGAGCATGGAGATTTCAAACTCCACAGTTTTCGCATTAGTCATGTTTTGAGCTTCTTCATCTTCCCCTAAGAGCAAGTGTGAGTCAAATATATTGCAAAGAAATCAATGGAATTCGCAAATTTCTTAAGGCTTATTAGACCTTAGTAGACATCATCAGCATTCTTAGCAATAAACGTTTAATATTTCATAGCTAAAGACATATCTAAGAATAGGAACTCCTATTCTTATCCTGTTCTTTATTTCTCTTGACATATACATACGCAAATAAGGAAGTATAAGACAAAGGTAATCTGAGAAATTATGCAGAAAACAAAACAACAACAATAACAACAATGGTTGAACGTATGAATTAAAATCTCGATAAATTAAAATGCTAGCAGAGGCATTTTCAACTGGAATTCTCCATAACACACAAAAAATACACACATGGACATAGATAGGGAACTTCTTCTTCTTCTTAGTTATACAAACTGCTATCGCCTTGGTTACTTAAAGACCACTCCATGATTATATATTTGCAATTAAACTAACCATTATGATTACACAGCCAGATTTCAGTAGAAACTATCTAAAACGAAGAGGTTATCATCACTTAAATCAACCATCATGCCTAGAAAGTTGATTTCAACAGGAATTGTGCGTGTATGTGTGTGTCGGTGTGTGTCACATGCACAGCACATGCCCATAGCAGTAATTCCTCACTGAATAATTGTAGATGGACCTTCACTACTCTGCAGGACTCAGTTTCTCTCCACCTGATTTCCATCCCTCATGAGCATATCCCTGACAATATGCAGTTCTTTGATAATGTTGCCCATATCCATTCTCTTTGCCGGTAATTCATTCGAGCATGTGATACCAATTCTAAGCAATAAAGCTATGCACTCAATTGCTCTTGCATAATTCATTTTTTCAGCATCATTAGTTGGTGGTGCGAACAAATGAGCATCGATGATGTCTATGATTCGTTCAGAAAATGCCATCTCCACAAACATACGAAGAGTAAGGCCTCCTACAAACATCTCATCGGTCGGTCTCTTTCCAGTAAACATTTCCAGCAAAAGTATCCCATAGCTATACACATCTCCACGAGTGGAAACTTCACTCCCCATTCCGTACTCTATTGTAAGCGGAACATATAAATGTTAGGATACTTAGTCGAAGATAATTATATAAGGCAGTGTAAAGTCAAACTGAGTACTTATATTTTCTTATCAAATTAATTTGGGAACATATATATGGAAATGTTGATACTTCCAACGAAGAACATAAGATGAACATGCATGTAGTGCAGATAAAGTCCACATCTATGAATCAAATCAGACAATATGTTGTCTAAACTACAAAAGCAGAAACTACTAATATGGTCAAGTTTCAGATGGGCATACGGTTCTTTTTTAGCCTCCTGAAATTCTAACTTTTCGGTAAATGTGAAATAAATAGTAAATATATTGTAGTATAGTACTAAGGAAATCATTCAAATTAATAAATAGAAGTTTTCACCTGGAGCAATATATCCAATTGTTCCTTTGAGACCACATGAACTTGTTGAGTACTGAGAAGAAACCTTTTTGAGAAACTTGGCCAGCCCAAAGTCACCAACATGGGCCATCATATTATCATCGAGAAGAATGTTGCTTGGCTTCAGATCACGGTGAACAATTGGTTTCCCACATAGATGGTGGAGATAATGCAGAGCATGAGCTACATCAATAACTATATTTAATCTTCCAATAAGGTTCAGCTTCTTCAGTTTGAATCGCTCATTTGCTTTGGGATGCAACCAAGCATCTAAACTGCCGTTGTCCATGAACTCAGAAACCACAGCCTTGAAGTCATTACATTGAAAATCTACACTTGAACATATTGTAAGGATCTTGAGAAGATTCCGGTGCCGAATGTTTTTCATGGCTTCACATTCTACCAAAAAGCTCCTTGATGCTCCTCGTACATGAAGATTCAATACCTTCACAGCAACAGCTTTCCTATATTCACCATCAAGTAGTCCTTTATATACGTTACCGAAACTTCCACTTCCAATTCTATTGTCCTCAGAAAATCCATTAGTGGCTTTCACTAGGTCACCATAAGAGACTCACATTTTGCTCATTTATGGGTGACAAGTCAAGAGATTTTATTCTTGAACCTTTTCGATGGCATCGGCCAAGGAGGAAGCAGAATAAAAGGATCAAGAATATAAATGAAATAGTGATCACACTGATAAGTATAGATGTATGCGAGCCATGTTTCTTGTTAAAGGGTTCAGAAAGGCAAGCTCGCAGATGCATTTCTGGGTTCCCTCTTACACAATTTTGGAGGAATATGATATTTTCCTTCACCTTCTTAAGAAACAGAATCATGCTTTGGTCAGTCAATATTCCTCCCCTAATTAAAATATGACTAGAGTATAATTTGGTATTGGCTGTTAGGTAAGTTTTTGTTTTATCCGGGAATAATTATTCAAAATAAGTAGTATAACAATAAACACAGTGTAATTATGAGGTCAAAGACAATATTTGCCTGCATGTGACACGAAGATAGAAAGTATTGCATACGCGCTAAAGTAAACTATTCCAAAGTCATCCTTGACTGCAAGAGCTCTTAATACTTGTTTTTCGACCATTAGTTCATTTTCCATTTATTGGTATCACTGACATTGATTTACCTCTATCTGACGCAGCGCGAAAGTAATAAGCCTTAGAATCTATCAAGAGTTATTCTTTAAATCCATAAAGAACGATCTTCGGATCCACGAAAAACTTCGACTCCACAAAGATAGAGAAGAAAGCGAGGTGGGATGCTGCCATATAATTTGTTTCCAGACAAGGATAGAGAAGAAAGCGAGGAAAGGGTTGTTAATGAAGATGGTACATGTCCTGTAAGGCTGTTGTTGTTCAAAAACAGGAATTGAAGTCTAGAACAATTGGTGACGCTGGCTGGGATTTCACCTTGGAGCTTGTTATTCCACAGTCTCAGCACCTCCAATCTTGAACACTGAGAGAGTGAAGCAGGAATACCTCCTCCGAGGGAATTCATACTCAGGTCAAGATATAGCAACCGGGGAAGGAGACCAATCTCTTGTGGGATGATTCCCTTAATATGATTGTTTGAGAGATCAATCTCCCTGAGAAATGTGAGATTAACTATGGCTGTTCAAATAACACCGACCAGATTAAGAGAGCTCAAGTTCAAGGATACAACCCTTTGAGGACGTCAGAATCCGCCGCAAGTGATCCCTAGCCACCGGCAGAAATGAACAGAGTCATTCCACGAGGCCAGCGATCTCCTTGGATCGCCGGATACCATGGATTTGAAGGAGAGAAGTGCTTGCCCCATGGGTGATGTTGTTGTGCTTTGGATTTAAGGTGGGGCTGGATGTGGAAGCTTGTGGGCATGAGAGGAGGACTAGAGCTTGTGAGCGATGAAAATTTTAATAACAGACGAGCCACGGGGGAAGGGACTTTTGAATTAAGATGATTTAGATTAATAAATATTTAATACTTTAAGATCATGGAGTAGAAATTAGTGTTGACAATCATGTTATTCCATGACACAACAATATACCCAACAATCAAGCATTTCTATGGATAATTGAACTAATTTACAGTTGTGTAAATGCATATTCTAATAAACAAGTATTAGATTTAAACTAAACCTTAGAATGAAGATGAATCACTTAGCGTGTTCTTGTCCTTTCGTCTCTCTCTCTCTCTCTCTGTGTTTTGTTTTAAGTTCCCACAAGAGCTTTGTTCAGTCTCCTCCCAGCTGGTGACTGATGCTCTTCTGTGTATAATGTTGGATGGAGCCAGAGGGAGCCGCAATCTTTGACCAAAAAGATTGCAGCCCACACCCAATTGCAGCACATCTTTGATAGGAAGGAGTGAAATTCTTGATCTATCAGAGTTAGGCACCGAAGAACCACCTATCAATGCTAGGAACCGAAGAGCCAAAATTGTTGATGATATGTGATCGAGTTAGCCTATAAATAGGACCAGAGTTGATCAGAGTTACGCACAACAAAAAATTCAATCCAATCTCCAAATTCCATATAGAAAAGTGAGAGAAAAATAGAGAGAGTTTTTTCTTGTATAAGAGAGAGATTATAACTCTTAAAATTTTCCTTATAGTGAATTCTTCTACCATTGCTCATGGTTTTTACCTCAATAAATTTAGGGGGTTTTCCATGTGAAAATATGTGTCCAATGTATTATTTTCGCACTAATATTAGCTGCGACCCTGCTCGATTTGATCTCTATTTTACAACAAGTGGTCTCAGAGCCTGATTTAGGGTGCATGTATCTTCTTATCGTATGCTCTATGGTTGCCAGCGAAGGTGGATCCTCCACATCAAAAAATAAGTTAGATTTTATCATTTACCCTTTGAAGGCACTAGGCACGAGTATAGTTACTATTCATGAGTGTTGTTATTGTTTATATGAAATAGTAGAAGTTGCAGTTCATGATAGAAGCAATGGCGGTAAAGTTCGAGATTGAAAAATTCAATAGGAGTAATTTCTCATTGTGGAAATTAAAGATAAAGACTATCTTGAGAAAAAATAATTGTCTAGCGGACATAGGTGAAAAGTCAAAAGACATCACATATGTCTAGAAGTGGAACGGGGATGAGAAATATCTGGCATTAGCAGATGGGGTATTGTCAAGCACAAAGGAGAAGAAAATAGTAAAGAAGATCTGGATTACTCTAACAATGTTATATGAGGCCAAATCCTTGCATAACAAAATCTTCTTAAAAAGAAGACTTTATGCTCTTAAGATGGTAAAATCTACATTGATGACTGACCACATCAACACCCTAGACATACTATTTTCTCAACTTACAACATTGAGGGATACAATCGGTGTGAATGAACGTGCAGAACTTCTACTTTAAAGTCTACCTAAATTGTATGATCAACTCATTATCAATTTAACAAATAACGTCCTTATGGACTATCTAGTTTTCGATGATATTGCAGCCGCCATTCTGGAGGAAGAAAATTGGTCCAAGAATAAGGAAGATAAGTAGGCAAGTTTGCAATAAGTGGAGGTCTTATTGGTGATGAGAGGAAGATCAATGGAATGTGGCTTCAGTGGGAGTCATACCCATGGTAGATCAAAATTAAAAGTAAGAAGAATATCAAATGCTATAACTATGGTAAAAAGAGGCACATAAAATTGGAGTGTTGGCACAATAACAAAAGTGATGATAAAAAATCTTCAGAGCCATCAATATCTCAAGGATGCGTTGTAAGTACATCAGATAATGGTAAAATTTTATACAGTAGAGCAACAACTATTGATAAAGGCCAAAAGAGACTTCCTGATGTCTATCTTTGAGATTCAGCAGCCACTTGACACATGACCTCTTGGAGAGAATGGTTCCACAAATATGAACCTATCTCAGGAGCATCTGTACTTATGGGTAATGATCATGTCTTAAAAATTTATGGTATTGGCACTATCAAAATAAAAATGTTTGATGGTATAATACACATTATTCAAGATATATGACATGTGAAATGATTGAAGAAGAATCTATTATTTTTAGAAAATTGGATGAGCTCGGATGCAACACCCATATAGAAAGTAGGATCATGAAAATTGATAGTGGAACGCGTAATAAAAAGAAAAAAGATAGTTGTAAATCATTATATGCTTAAGGAAGAAACTTGCAGGAAGCTTATTCATGTGTGGCATCAACTAACCATGGAGAAGAACTAACCATGATGTGGCATCGTAAACTAGGCCACATGTTAGAACGCGGCTTGAATATTCTCTCCAACCAAAAGCTGCTTCTTGGAATTAAAACGATAGCTCTTCCCTTCTATGAGCACTGTGTTACAAGTAAGTAACATCTGGTAAAATTTAACACATCGAGTTCTAGAAGTAAGGCTGTTCTAAAACTAGTTCATTATGATATATGGCAAACACGAGTTACATTCATAGGAGGGCAAAGTACTTTGTGTCATTTATTGATGATTATTCCATAAGATCTTGGGTGTACCCTATCAAGAGGAAGGCAGATATGTCCCCAGGTTTCAAGCTTAGAAAGCGTGAGTTGAGATTGAATCTGGAAAGAAGATCAATTGCTTGAGGACAGATAATGGAGGAGAATACATATATGGTGAATTTCTTACATTTTGTAAGCAAGAATGTATCAAAAGATAATTCAGTGTTGTATATACTCATCAACAAAATGAAGTGACAGAGTGGATGAGCAAAACTCTATTTAAATGAACAAGAGTAAGGTTGGCAACTGCAAATCTGGATAAAGTTTTTAAGGCAAACATAGCAAAAATCACCTGCTATATGGTGAATCAAGCTCCATCAACTGTAATTGACTTAAGATGCCGATGTAGATGTGGACTGACAAGCCAACTGATTATTCAAACCTCCATATATTTGAAAGTCCATTATATGTAATGTACAGTGTCCAAGAAATTACAAAGATGGATTCAAAATCAAGGAAATGCATATTCTTATGGCATGCTGAAGACAGTCAAGCATCCAAAGCCCTATCCATTGGGGTGGATTCAGAAGAAAGTGGGATTGAGTGTGGTCAACCAATACACTTTCAGATTTGCGCTCCACGAGTCGTATATTGACGAGGTCACGTGCGATGTAGTTCCATTAGATGTTTGTCAGGTTATACTGGGCAATCCCTATTTTTAGGATAGATACGCGATCTACGAGAGACGATATCAGAAGTATACATTCACCAAAGATAGTGAAAAGTTTATATTTCATTCGGCATCTCTTCTGAAGGAGACAAACTTGGTGATGATGAACCGAGCGAAGAGGTTAGTGAATGCAAGCAAGAAGTTTATTGCGCTATGCATTAGTTCTTATGAGGAGCCACTGAAAGAGGGTTGCAATTTGGAGTGGAAGGTGACTACGACGAGACATGGGATGAAGAAATTGTTTCCGATCGGACGTCGAGACCGGATTCCTAGCAAGGCCAAGTGGTTCAGAAAAGAAGGAGGGGCTCGCGAGTTCCCTCAGCTACAGTTCTAACTTGAACGGGACTTCAAGTTCCTAAAGGGGGGATCCATGATACGAGTGTATCTTCTTCCTTGCTTCGAGAGCTTAGCGATCCTCATGGAAGCTTGAGGATAGATGATTCTCATGGTATCTTGAGAATAGAGATATGGACGAAGTCGTTGAAGGTGGCAAATGCGAAGATTACAGGAAAAGACTGTATGAGTCATTTTGAGCTTCTAGTGGTCGACCGCACGTGACGCCGCGGTCGACCGCGAACGTGCATAACACAGAGAAAAGTTTATGGACTTTTCGCGATCAACCACAACGAACTCGGCGTTTGCGCGGGAAGTTTGGCCTTTGCTGAACTTTTTGGTGTTTTCGGTTTTTCAGGACTTGTATTTTCTGCCGTTTTGCATATTTGATCGTCTTGTTGACTTGCACACGTCGTTAACTCGCTTCATGCATTCGTTAGCTTCTTTACAGTACTTGGAACTGACCGACAAGCGCGTCGGGCACTTTGGATCTGACTGACGAGCGTGAGCTAACTAACGAGCGTGACGACCAATTGGAGGTGGCCGGTGAGCGTACGAGACACAGTTGGTTCGCCATTGCGGTTCATACACTTGTCGGCGTCAGATAATCCTCCTAGACTCGGATAACGACGATCGTCATCTTTTCTCCGTCTCGAGCTATGTGCGGATACCTATAGATATTTTTAGACGCCTACAGATACCCCCTCTAAAGTATTTCAGACTTATTCTTTTATAGAAGAGTCTGGAATGATTTGGATAAGATAGGCCATTTCCTCAATCTCGTGAACTTCTTCAATTCTTAACTTCTTTAGCCTTCAGTCTATTCAGTGTTTTATCGAATAGATGAAGTTCTTCCGGTACTACGTTTATCATCTGACCATTATCGAAATCTTGAACTGAAGTTGATGCGTAATTTTTTGAATTTAGCTCGTGTCATTGAGTTGACTTTAAACCGATCATCTTCATCAGAAATTCATATCTGAATGCGATTGAACTCCCTAGAATCATCCTTTAATCCGGAATTTTTCCTTAGCCTTATTTTGGCGAAACCGTCGATGCGTTGACCGGCCTCGACTTTTACTGTAATGCGTTGACTGGCGTAAACCTTTGCTGTAACGCGTTGACCGACGTTAACATAGTTTATACTCGTACGTTTGCTAGAGTTTACACAGTTTAAGCTCTTAAGGCATTGGAGCGTGGCGGTCCCAAATTTTGAGCTGCAGGACCAACTGTTAGAGTTGTTTCGTCTACAGATGCGGATCTTATCCTGAAGTTGTTGGATGTTTAAGTCACGAGACCAACTAATGAAGTTGATACGTCAGT